ATTTGTCCCGGTGTCTCCTGGTATCTCTTACAGACTCTTCGTATTGGTTATTTCTCCAGGGATTTAGCTGTATTAGCTCAAATAAACCTTTGGCTCTGTTCATTTATAATGGAGCCCACAGCAGTCATTCTCAATATACCATCAGTCTGTGTATTTGTGTCTGCATTGATCACTCTAAATGCCCTTCTCTTGTGGATACATGGTTTCAAAGTCTTAAAGTAAGTTTTAAGTTGTCTCACGTTCAGGTCCCCATTACATTTTAGCAATTACAGCAAAGAAGATTGGTGGTCTGAGAACAAAGCATCACTGCATGATCCCCTGCTATCTCCAGACAGGGATTTGAAGTGAAAACAGCACATAATCTCTAAAAGATCTTATTAACCCCAAAGAAATCAATCTTTAAATTGATTCCTTTTTGTTCTTTGAAGAACACTTATTGTGGTGTCAGAGGAGATGCACGTCATTTCAGCTTGACCCTGTTGTGAAGCTGTGCAGTTCATGAGTGGAAATAAGAGAACAAACTGACAGTGCTCTGTGTTTTCCTTCTCTTTTTTACCCCTCTCTGTCTGTCTATCCGCTTGCTCAGTTTTTAATTGGGCTCACCGCGTGTGTGCCTAGAGAGTTCTGTGCTGTGTTTGTGTGGGTGAGTCTTGGAGCAAATGATAGTAATTTAGGGATTTCAACTTGTGTAAATGTTAAATGTTTGTACATGCATGTCCCTAAATGACTATGTTTAAGTGTCTGTCTGCATGAATGTATGTGTAGAATAGTGTAGAGTTTATTATTTCATCAAAGCTATAGCCCACATATACTGTTCATCAAAAGCTAATGGTGGGATTGAGGGTATTTTAGATGTATAACAGCAGGAACCTGTATGAAACAAGGAAACATGTAATAACATGTTGCTAAAGCGACTTACAAATGAGGAACATCACAAGCAATTTATCATACTAGAGCAAACAACACTCAGTATGAGACTCTAAGCTGGAGCACAGAAAATTAAGAATTTTTGTTTTCATATAGAATTTATTTATTGCAAATGCTTTGGTTATGGTTTGTAATCTTGCGTTTAGTCTCACATTTTCATGATAATTCGTTGAACAATCTTTAATTAAGTGAAGTTGTGATGAAACATGATTTTTTCAAATGCCCAGTAAACTGTTAGAGACAACAGATTAGGTATTTTATTTTGTGCCACTGGTTATCTTCGAATTAGACTACTCAAGTATTGTCAGTCTACTAGAGCTATAACTAGAGTATTGGCTGTTTATTAGTACTTATAAACAGTGCTTGAAGTGGAAAAAAAGAATTTATAATTAATAAATAAATAAGAATCTTATTTATTTATTTAATTATTTATATTAAATAAGTACTTTTTAATCATTCGCAATGTATGTATAGTGCCACAATCAATCAATCGATCAATAATTGAATAAAAGTTTTCAGTACAAATTAGCACAAGTCAAGCTGCGATACCAAACAGCAGCACAGGGAGACGCCAAAGACCACTAAATCGCCTGCCTACTATACGGATCCATTCAGAATCGCTAAATCTCTGACCACCGCATAAACAGCTTTCATTATAAAACACTCTTGCATTTAACCCAAATACACACTGAAAATAATAATTTTACTGACATCTGGACGTAAGTCACTATTCTTTCCGCAATCGCGGATGAAATCGGCCTTGTTTTCTCTGCATTAGGCTGTTTTGAACTTACTGTTTAATCGTTTACTGGATCCTTGGACTTTGCAGGAGTTTACCGGTTTAAAATGATGTGATTGCAAAAGCCTGCTTCTTTTAATTTTAAGATATTATTTTCGTTATAAAGTACTGATTCAAATTAGTAATCAATAATTAATTATTATTCTACTACTCTGCGCCTCCCCTGACATGCTCTTGCTCCCCACACACTCCGGTTGCATTCATTCACGTGATTGGTCGAGATGAGAGGTGATCCCGCCTGGGTAGTGTGATTTATATAGTGTCCTTTCTAATCATATTATGGGATCATATAATCACCCAGACCCTGACGCTTTTACTCTGAGTACCGGCAACATGTCAGAAGTGCCGGTACGCACAAAAAAGTGCAGGTACTCTAAAGGCTAAAATATAGAAGTGCCGGTACTGCGTACCGGTGCGTACCGGCCCAATTCAAGCACTGCTTATAAAGCACATATTAATGCCTTATTCTGCATGACCATATTCTAGATCTCTTAACCCTTTTTCATACCTAAACATAACTACTATAACTACTACAACTACTTACTTTCAATAAGCAGTAATTAGCAGTTTATTGAAGGAAAACTCTTAATAGTTAATAGTGAATATGTGCTCCCTAATCTGAAGTGTTACTGAATATTAATATGTAATTCTCACACACAGACACAGACACACACACACACACTACAATTCAAAATGTTGGGGTCAGTAAGATATTTTAATGTTTTTAAGAGAAAAATGTTATAGTTACTAAGGCTGCATTTATTTAAGCAAAATGTTTTTTGTTTTGTCTATGACATTTGAAATTGTTTGATCAAATTGAACCAACTGTAACTTTATATGTCCAATCTGTGACCTACACAGATCACCTCTCTCTCTCTCTCTCTCTCTCTCTCTCTCTCTATATATATATTATATATATATTCTCCAGGGCTGCATTCATTTGAGTACATAAAAACTGTGATATTGTGAAATCTCTTTTTGCTATTTGAATTATGTTTAAAATGTAATGCATTCCTGTGATGGCAAAGCAGAATTTTTTAGCAGTCATTACTCCAGTCTTGAATTTGACACGTTCCTTCAGAAATCATTCTAATATGCTGAATTGGTGCTCAAGAAACTTTATTATCATTATTATTATCAATGTTGAAAACAGTTGTGCTGCTTAATATTTTTATGGAAACTGTGATACATTTCCCCCCCAGTTTCAGTGTTGGTGTGATTACTGTCTTTTGCCTTTGTAGGCCAGTATTGATGGATCAGTGAGAAATGGGGATGACATACTCGGCAGTGAAAAACCCATAAAATAAACACAATAGACCTGAGTAAGGACTGTTTTTAGAATCTGGGGGCTGTCGAGGCTGGATTCTGATGTAATTTTCATCTGTTGTTTGCATTGCAAGAGGGGGTGGTGATGAGGGGGGCGGTAATAATTACCCAGAATTCTTTAGTGGTCTCATTTCTTGCTGTTCTAAAACGTCTGCCTTCACGCTCTCTACTTCTCTTTTTATGGTTCCTTCTTTTCCTTCTGAACCTGCAATTACAGAGACTTCTTGACTCCTCTCTCTGTTGTGTGCTTTCTGAGCCAGAGCATGAGTGCAAAGTGCAAAGCTGTCTTCGTTTCAGTTGAAAAGAGGAGGGATGAAATCTGTTTTAAACCGTTTCAGAAAGTAATTGTCTCTCCCATATTACTATCGTTCTCTCTCTTTCTTTCTCCTGCTTTGGAATTTAACTTTCCATGCATTTCTCTTCATTTTCTCACACAGAAGGAAACTTAGAAGGCAAGAACTCTGTCAAAGACCAAATACACCAGATATGCAGAGAGTAAATTGGACTTCTTTACTTGCATTTCATTTCTTCTGTGCTTTGTGCTCTGCAAAAATCTGTCAAACAAATAACAAAAAACTCTGCTCTTTTCAAACACACTGTTTATTGTCATCAGTCACAAAGATATGTATGTAGCAAAATTTAAAACTACATTGTTTCCTGTTTAACAAAAATAGACATGTTTCTTCCTAAGGCTTTACATTTGCACAAAAGAAAAACATTTAAACATGTAATTGTTTACATAAACACCCTCAAAGTGTAATAACGTTCCCACTTCCGAATGTCACATATTCGCACACATATTCATACATACACACTACAAAAAATAAAACCATACATATTTACTATAGTGTAACATTCAGATATAAATTACCCCGTATAAATGATTTATTCTTTAAAAATACAAAAATGTATATGCATATATACAGTACATAGACAAAGAACAGCATTGTAAAACTCGACAAAACGATTAGGGAAAGAAAAATTTTGACTTTTTCCATTTTGATCTTTTGCAAGTAAGTTTTTTTCTGTATCTTGTGGCCAGTGTTCCCACACAGAGAACATTAATTAAGTAAACCCATGTGACAGCACTTCAGGCACTTGCACAATATCTTCACAGATAATTTTCAGAGGCAAGTAAGAAAAAGAGACTGTCATGTTTATGCTGTCAGAATTTAATCCAACATTATTTTAAACTGTATTGTTTCACTCTCAATAAATACTCGTTTTATCTCCTTTGTTTATACCCTTTGGTTTACACAACATGATTTCTGTATAATTCTCTGCTGAAATGAGCTTGTTAACATCATGAACTTCCTATAAAATCTATCTATGCAGGTTTCATTTTAAATTAAATTAAATAAGTAAAGGCACCATGATAACAGGTCCATCCATTGCTTTTGGGCTTCATATCTAAACCCTGAAGATACAATACATGCTACAAAAAAATCAAAACCACATGCCATTGAGTTTCACTAAAACATCATCTAGAAAATATTGTTTCTTATTCTGTTTTGAAAAACTCACAATGCGATCTTGTTTTCTCACATTTGACCATGAGATACAGAAAGTCAAAGCAGTCACCTATTCATAAGTCTAAACAGCACTTTATCACTATAACATAAGAGACAAATCAGACCACGATATGTAATAGGCCCTACAGATTCTCTTTGAATGTTAGCTAACTAGCAGCTTTTGTGGATTGCAGCTTTACAGAAGTTTGATTTCAGAATTGATTGGAGAAAGAAAGGAAGAGAATTAATAAATACTTTTATAAAAATAATCTCTTTTGCTACTAAAATCTCTTGCTACAGTTACATCTTGAATTCTTTTTGAGTTGAGAAATGCAGAGCCTGGTATCCCGCTGTTTCCTCTGTCTTCATTGATCTCTCTCCCTCCAGAGTCAGAGCTCTACCTTTGTGATCGTTGATCTCTATAGCAACAGGAGTCCTCAGTTTGTAGGTCTGGCTTCGACTTCCCCATCTTTTACGATTTCCTTGGCTTGATTCCTTGATTTCTTTCCATTTTCCTGCTGATGCCCGGATCCATTCGGGGAACTGCGTTTCAAGAGTCGATTGATGATGTCACTGCAAGTCTTCCTGTACTGGTGTCGCAGAAGAGAGTAGACGAAGGGGTCACATGCAGCTTTGCTGTATGCCAGACTCTTACACAGCATGCCCCAATATGGATTAAATGGCTCCGTCACAAATAGCTCCACAATCCTAAAGACATGACACCCACATAAGCAAGACAAGGTGCAAAGTCCGTTCTCTGCAGTTAACACATTTTCACTATTTTTGCATATGGAAGGCTATACGTTTGTTTAGCAGAGGTAGTGAATGCAGAACAATTTCTGTTTTCAGTTTGGTTATGTGGGGGATAATCTGTGACCAGAATGGGACACTAACATTTGCTCATAAAAATTGCTTTTGACAGGAGCTTTGTGGAAGAAAAGCTGCAGCAAGAGTCAGGGATACACCAGACAGTCATCCTTCCATCTTCTCTGAGCTTACCCAGGTTATGTAACATGCCTAGTCAGAAGGCTGCTCTTCATTTTGGCTTACGAGTCAGGTGGACATGCATGACCAGAGACATTAGTACGAGAACTACAGGCTTCACATTTCATAACTTGTAGGATACTGTAGAGGAGACCAGTTTTTGGGAAATGTTTACAAAAATATACTTGTAATTAGATTATATCACATTTTAAAATCCTTATTAGATTAGTTACTCTTTAATGGATTACATGATTACATATTATTCACACAGAGATTTTATGAGCTTCATAATATTTCAAATTAACAGCACATTTGCGTGTTCACAGTTCTCTGATGTCAGTTAAATGATATCACTGGCATGCAGGTAAACAAACAAAATATTTTTTTATTTATAGTGCTTTTATTTTAAAGTAATTATTTTTTTCCTTAAGTTCACATTTTTATGATTTGAGTTAATTAGCTTTTCATCAAACCCCGCAGTTCCTTCAAACCCCAGTTTGGGAAACCCTGACTTTTAATGCACTTTGTGTTGTTGATGATAAAGAATAGAATATATTTTATTTTTATGTCAATTTGGTACACAATGATTTTATTCAAATCTATGTGATAAACCAGTTGGGTCAAAAGAAATCTAAAAGTAATCAATAATTATATTACTATTATTATAGTAATCAAACATTATATTACTTAAAACTAATAGATTTACATTATAGACTACAATTTTAGGTAGGTACTTTGTAATCAGTAACGGGCGGCATTACTTATTATTTGTAATGCATATTTGTAATGCATATTTTGATGCAACATTGAAATTATTACTATGCGTTTTATCTATATTACAGACATTTTTCAATTTTGCTTTAAACACACATTGTTCATTATAGCTAAAAGAATTAGTACCATAAAAAGGTTTTAATTTAAAAAACTATTCAGTAATGTTCCGTAACAAAATGGAAGATATGTTATGAATGCCCCTGGTCTGCTTAAACAATACGCAGTGTCCTCCAGCTATTAGTATTATATCAAGCATGCAGCTAATAACATCCAGGGATCTCAACCTAGCCTAGCCCAGGGGAGAAAAGCAGGTGGCTCACCTGGTAATGACATAAGGGGTGAAACAGACGACGAAGGTTCCAATGAAGGTACTAATTTTGCGGGTGGCTCTCTGTCTCCTCCTTTTCTGCTCCTCCAGACAGCGCTGACGAACACTGGACAAAAGTTATGATCTCAGTATTATGTTATTATGCAGATGAGACAAGCTCACTAGACTGACTTTTATCCAGCTTAAAACAGATGTTATTTAAAACCGTATCCATGCACCAGACTTACTTACATACTTCACCAATGACAACATTAGGAACCTTTTTCTGACAAAACATTCAAGAGGCCTAACAGCTGTTCCCATCGAGTGAGGATGTTTGCCCAGGCTGTTTCAGTGAATCATTGAAATGTCAGATTACCTTCATCACACCTGCAGTGGGTTATTTAACACTTGCTCACATGGTCACGTCAAACAGAAGTACGGTGTGATTGGTTAGTTATATCAGTCTATAAAAAGTTGTAGCTTTTTATTTATTTAGAAGGATAGCAAAAGAGCCAACAGCTGGCAGTCATTTTCCTTTCTCTTTGAATGTGTGGAGTGCTCTGATACATCCCCTGCCTGAACACCAGATGTGCTCATTACATGTGGTGTGTAGGGCTATTGTGATTACTCATTGTCGGTTAATAAGTTATTAGACAACATGTTGCTATTGAAAGTCATCCAGAGCTCTGGGCAATGAGCTGATGATGTTCATTCTCTGACGAGCACAAATGTCTCTTGATATCTGTTGGCAGGTGAGAGAGGTGTGTTCAGCCACAATATTTGGTAGCAGCATACAAATGTGCCACATTTTATTATTTTAAAGTAGAAATTGTTGATCACAGTTCTATTTATGTTTTGTGTCATTGTACCAGTTACATTTGTGACTGTGATTTAGTTTGAGGGGGCCAGTTTGAGTTGCTGATGTATTTTTCAGACTCTCTTGATTTCATGTTGACATTTTTACATAGATACTGTGAATAGTCACATGACCTGAGCTGTTCAATTCCAGTTTGATCCACTGAAATATTATGCCTTTGTCAATGATCAGTTCAGTCTCTAAATCACAGGACACATAAAGTGTCTGTTTACGCATTTGAGTCATTTTTTCAGCTATGTCCACCAGTTACAATTTTGACTGTTTTTAATTAATTAATTAATTAATTTATTTATTTATTTTGAATATGTAGTTTGTTTCTGTGATATCCACAGAATAAAATACATGTTCACTTAGTTAAGAACAATTATTTAGGATTCAGTAGGTTCAAATCCCTGTCAGGTCTAGTAGAGGGCAGTGGACCAAAACTGTGGTGCTGAAACCCAGCAGCTCTAGAGTTTCTCTGGCCTCTAGACTATTTAATATTTGAGTGCTGAATATGTAATATAATATGTATTGGTGCAGACACTTAAAATTAAAAGCAAAATTTGAAGAGAATATTAGTAAGTTTAACAATCAAAAAAGTTAATTAAGTTTTATAAATTAAGTATATAAAGAAAAAGCATAAAGGGCAATTAGGGAAAGAGGCATTCCCAAAGTTCCTTGTACAAACATTATTGGTGTTATTGGTTATGCTCATTTGTTTGGGTTTTGTTGCATTTTAATGTTATTTATTTCGAGTTTACAATGTTTGTTAACATGATGTTTGTGGCAACATTTGAATTATACTGACTACATTTGACAATTTTTATGAACTTTTAATCAGCATATGGTTTATACATACGTGTTGTTACTGCTTTGTTAATATATAACCTATTTAATTAAATAACGTGTTGACAGTTAATATAGCCTATGTAAAACAGGCCGTCGCCAATATCTTAATCATCGTCACTGTGTTTCTACGATAAAGTTCACCACTGCTGCCAATTTTCTTTCTTTCTTTTTAAGCGTAAAAATCTGCATATTCTCACTCATTCTTACCTCGGGTGAATGTCCACTAGCAGTACGAGCGTTTGCATGGTTATCACGTCGATGCGCTTACAGTGAAAGCGCGCGACTTTGAGCACTTTCAGATACGTGACGCAGAGCACCACCGACACCAACAGGAACGTGAGTGAGTGCAGCACCATGGTGTAAATCGCGAACTGCGTCTTGGCATTGACCGCCCTGCCGTTACAGAGCGTGCACGAAGCGTACAGCTGATGGTAGCCCACCCAGGAGAGGCACGCGGCAACCACAGAGAAGGACAACGAGTGCATCCACGTGTAAGCCAGAGCGATTACAGCGTCCCGGTGACGGATCCTGGAATGGTAACTGAGAGGGAACACCACTGCAACCCAGCGGTCGATGCTGAGAGCAGCCATACTCAGCATGGAGTTGGTGGTCAGGAAAGTATCCAGAAACCCGACCACCTGACAGAAAATTTGTCCTCCGGGATGTGCATTACTCAATACCCCGAAAAGAGTCAACGGCATGCTGGAGGCGGACAGAAGCAGGTTGCAGAACGTCAGGTTGAGTATAAACAACCCAGGAACCTGCTTGCGAATTTCTGCATTGTATAAGAAGCAGATCAACACTAGCACGTTGGACAGCAGCGACACAACGATGATCACGACGAGTAGGAGAGAGAGCGCGATCTCCGCTGTGTGCATGATGTTCCCCGCTCTTAAAGCCCCCAACTTTGAACCGCAGCTCCAGGACAGTTCATGACGGGGAACTAAATTGCATCAATACAACTTGTAGATCCCCCAACGCGATATCCACTTGTACATACGCGCGAGATGCACGGTCTTCCATGACTCCGACCTCCGTTTAGTCAGCGAAGTGTTGGGAAAATCCATCTAAACAATTGGAACGCGAAATCGCAAGAGAGGACGAATAATCCGCTCTCCTTCTCAACCCTAAAGGAATGCCTCGCGCAATTGCGCAGCTTGGGTTTTGCGCGCTTCTAATGCAGAATTCGCCCTTGAAACAGCTTTATATGTCAAAATGTCACCCCCCACTAATTTTGTGGAGAGGACTAATTTTAGAAAGTGTTTATATTTGTCGAAGGGAACTCTTTCACGTCACGATGAGGCAAAAGCCCTGGATCTCGTGGTACAATTTTGTGATTCGCTCGAGCACACAGCTAAAGTCCTACAAGATCTTGAAGAGCAATAGGCGCTTTTATGCCTTTAGAAACGCGATTTGTAACGCGTTTAGTTTCGACGTTTGTAACTTGGTAGTTTGTAAAACTATGCGTCTCAAAGTTTTATATAATCCATATTTCCCTGCTGCGAATGAAATGTGTAGAAATCTACTGCTTATTGTTATGTGTCAAGTAATGTCAAGTACAAAGTCTCCAATAGTGTACACACATTAAAAACATGGAGATTTTAAATGGGCATGCATGAATTCATTGTGGTAAACTTTCACATATGCTCTTAAGATATTCATATCAGGCACATGTTGGGTTACTGTCCGAGTTTGGCTGAAGACATTTTGTCCACCATTTAACATGCTGAGAGACACCATGGAAACTCTGAAAATTAGATTTTTCATTTCAATCTCTGACAATCAAATGTTTGATTCATATCAAAGAATTCCTAGATCGAGTGAAAAATAATCTGAGCAGCTCTTTTCAACTGCAAATGGAATGGCAGACAAAAAGAGAAATAGAGAGTGAAGCAAGGATTTGAAGTCTTGCGACTTTTAATTAAAGCTTTGGTAAAATATTGATTTAAGCTACCTTGGGGAGAAATAGGCTGTATTTATTGTTCAAGCCAAATCATTTCCAGCATACATCCACACATAATCTGTGTTTATAATTGAACAGGTAATCATGTTATTGTTGGATTCTATTAAAGTAGATTGCACCGTTTTATGAGTGCAGTTTAAAATTTGTGTGTACAGTAGTTTATGTAATGTTTTCACAATCACACATTTATTTAAAGGTTATTTAATGGGTTATATTGAGGTATATAAAACATGCTGCCCTTTTTAACATGTTTTTAAATGTGTGATCTCTTAATAATAACGATACCTGTATTACTAATACGAACAGTCGATTCTGTGACTTGGCTCTGCATTCGAATAGAAAAAGAGTTGGAGGGGAGAGCCAGGCTTGATGCATTTGGCTCTTGTTTGCCTGGCTGGGGGATGTCAGATGAATTTCCTGTCACTTTGTGTACATGAATCTGTATGTGAATTTGTACATGTGGACGTGTCTGTGCGAGTGCACATGTGTATGTTTGCATGTCAACATGTAGGGCATTACTTCATTTAATAGTATTCTTAATTATAGCACTATTTTGACTGGAGTGAAAATGACATTTGAAATTTGTCCTTTTTTCCAGATACTTTGCTAGGGAATTATTTTCGTTTTGGGTCCTCCTAATTAGAAAGCAACCCTGACATTTACTTTTACTGAACCAGAAGATCAGTTTACACACACACACACACACACACACACACACACACACACACCCTCTCTCTCTCATACTCATTAGTGGCTCACTGAGGCCGTGTAAAGATCGTCGCTGCCCTCTGTTACCATGGAAACGCCCACGCTGTCTGGGCAGTGGGTGTGTGGTGGTCCATCCCATGGTCCTTTGTGACAGCATGAACGATTCTGACCAATCAGTGGAGCAACCGCACCGATCTCGTTATTCTACTTGAGGGGGTGATATGGACAGCTTGTCTTGATGTGAAACATAGGCTTTTATCTCCATCGCTTTTTCTGCATAATTCTCTCTCTCTTTTTTTTTTTTTAGAACTAATTTGTGTTTTAAAATGTTAGATGTAGTCAAGAATAATCAGACTTTAAGTGAAGGCTAAATCATTTTTGCAACTTGCCAAAGCTTGCCATTATTTTGTCACGCGTATTATAATAATATTTATATTATTTAAAAAAATTATACTGAAGGTAATTGTGTAATTTGTTGATGCTATTGTTTCCATAGCCTGGAATATACAGGCTAAGATTTGTGTGTATGTGAGTGATATACAAATGATCTGCATGGTAAATACCATGAAATGCTGCCCTGTGGACTAGATGCATAGCATTCTGGGTCCAGTGATTCTGATTCTGCCAGATTCATTATTGTGTTGCTTGTTGCATGCGATGAAAGGCTTACTTTCACAACCCAGTTTATGTCATATGCTTAAAGGTCCCATGACATGCTGCTTTTTAGATGCTTTTATATAGGCCTAAGTGGTCCCTAGTACTGTATCTGAAGTCTCTTTCCCGAAATTCAGCCTTGGTGCAGAATTTCAGCCACTACGAGCCAGTCCCACAATTACCCAGGGCTCGGTTTACACCCATCGCCATTTCTAGCCACTGGAGGACCAGAGGCAGGCTAGGGGAACTCATATTAATGTTAAAAAACCTCATAAAGTGACATTTTCATGCCATGGGACCTTTAAGTCAAAGGCTGTATTAAAAACATTAAGAATCACTTTCTATTTCAGCTAATTTAGGTTGTATTATATTCCGGTCTGCTTTAAGTACAGGTTTTCAGAGAAAAAAAAAAGGAAAGTGGAAAAAGGAAAAGAGAATGGCTGCGAATAATGCAATACATTGACCTATGCAGTGAGATTGTAGGTAAAGATCTCTATGACGAGACGGATTTAATTTCTATGTTTTTTTTTGTGTCAGTTTTAAAGGGGTCTTTTTATGTCAGGGCCTCCTGTGTAGCTGTGGCTCCATCTGGTGGTTTAACTGGCTAAATGCTTGTCTGCAATCCTTTATTATTATTTTCTGTCTGTTTGAGGACTGTTGTGTATTATGTATGCACTGCATATTCTGTGATTGTCTCTGAGGCATTTCATCTTAACTTTGACAGGTAATTTATTTTCAGCGGTGGAGCCCTGACTAATCAAAGCGTAGTCCTCATTTGAAAATATGTTGTTTTGACTCTAGTTGTTATGTGATTAGGGGAAGCACTCATGCACTCACAAGTAGGAGCAGATTTACTCATTTATGGGGCCTAGGCAAAGACAGGAATGGGCCCTCATCCATTAATTGGAATTTTCCCCAGATTCTTTTCACTGTCCACCTTGCACAGTGGTGTTCTCTACACTCTTAAAAATAAAGGCTCCAAAAGGCGGTTTTCCATAAAAGAACCAGTTTGGATTCCCCAAAGAACATTTTAGTGACCAGTTCAAACTTTTTTTTTCCCCAGAACATTATAATAATGTAAAAAACCTATTTTACTAGAAATAACCTTTAGTGCAGTTAAAAATGATAATTTAATGTTAAAGGTTCTTCATGAAACCAATGTCAATGAAGAGCCCTCATTTTTAATAGTGTACTGTTAATGTTGTTTGATAATTGCTTGCTTTTCTAGTTATTTAAATGTGAGCTTCTTGTTTTCACCACAAGAGGGAGTACTTGACCTTCACTAAAACCATTCTTGTCCCACAAGTCTGTCATCACTTCTCAACAAACCTAATAAACACATCATCAGCATCCTATAATACTCTTGTGCCTTGTCCGGCACAGGCCCAGGGGGCAGAGTATAAGTGCGGTTTGGCCTGTCCTCAGAGGTCACAGTCAGGGTTAATCTGTCATGTTTAGCAGAACCATGAGGGCACTTTTGTTTTTTTAACTGAGTTTAAAGCAGTAGTTCACACAAAAATGAAAATTGTCATCATTTACTCACCATCATGAAGTTTCAAACTTGAGATTTTTTTTTTATTCTGTGTAAAAAAACAACAAAAAAACACAACAACAGAAGATATTTTGAAGAATGTCTTGGCTGTTTTTGTCCATATTATGAAAGTCAATGGGAGCTTTCAAGGAGCTTTCAAAACTTTCAAGCCTCAAAAAGGACATAGAATTAATTAATACAAATTATAATTGGACAAAAACAGCTGAAACATCTTTCAAAATACTTTCCATTACTTTCATTCAAAATAATGCAAATAAATAAATTCATTCAGTTTAAAAAAATGTTAGAGCCAATTCGCATTTTTGTGTTCTATTGCTTTATTGCTGAAATTAGATAAATTTAAGTATGCCAACGGGCTGAAGGTCCAAACTGCAGTTTCAATGCAGCTTCAAATGGCTCTACAATATCTCAGCTGAGGAATAAGAGTCTTAACTAGCAAAGCGATCTGTCATTTTCGTAAAAACAAAACAAAATATAAAATAAATATACTTTTTAACCACAAATGCTCGTCTTGCACTAGCTCGACCTCATGCATTACAAAGTCACATTAGAAAGGTCATGCGTGACGTAGGCAGAAGTACCAACCCGGTGTTTACAAAGCGAACGTGCAAAGAAAGTCAAATGCCCTTTACAAAAAGGTAAAACAACGATGTCGGATGATTTTGAAGTTGAAGGAGAAAATGAGATGGAGTTTTTCGCCCTACCCTACCTTTTTGAACCGGACACAGACGAAGGCCTTTCCAACATGATTATGGACCTTGGACCTTTGTTGGCCACCATTGAAGTCCATTATATGGAGAAAAATCCTGGAATGTTTTCCGCAAAAACCTTAATTTCTTTGCGACTGAAGACAAAAAGACATGAACATCTTGGATGACGTGGAGGTGAGTAAATTATCAGGAAATTTTAATTTTGGAAGTGAACTAATCCTTTAAACCTTTGTGGTTTCTCTAGACAGCTGAAAATGTGGTTACGGTCTAATCAAAATTGTGACCATTTGA